GTCTGTACTGATTACTTGCTACTTTATGGTTCCCATTTTGAAGATGTGGAGTTACTGTTTGGCTACGCCATCTGTTTCTCATGAGAAGGAGAAGAGTTAAACATTCTATACAAGGCAAAGATTCTTGGGTACCTTGGAGTTTTCCCGAGGGCTTCCCGTAGCACATTTACACACACGCCCACACACATGCCCACACAGTGCTTTTAGATGGTTTTTGGTGTTAGTGGATTTGCTCAAGGTGATTACACCTGTGTTCTGGTTGTGACTCTGCATTACCTGGGCTTGGACACATTGCTTAACTTCTTTCATTCTCCATTCTTAGATCAATTCCAACTGATTCAGTTATGGTAAAATTAAATCAGATGATACATTTACATTTTAAAGAAAAAAGTCCAAGAGAATAAAGCCTCAGATGTATTTTTTTTTGCCCAGAGATTATGATTTTACTCGAGTTTATCCCCAACCCCCCCAGTAGCTAGACAAATCCTATGTTAATTTATACATGACTTGGGAACATTCCGATCTAAGAAAACATTGAATTCTTTACAGTGTAACTTGAAAGCTTTTGAAACTCAGGGGAATATGAACTATACATGTAGTCTAATTTCAAAGGGAGAAAAATGGATACCAAGCTGTAATTCATGTGGATTAATGTTGAATGAGCAGAAAGCCACTCACATATTAATTCTTTAAGTAAAACTTTAGATTTAGGACTAACAGATTGAAATGTAGATTAAACTGAAATGTCTGCCTATAGGGCATAGTTCCTTAAAATAGATATATTAATGAGAATGACAATATAATTAGACTAAGTTGGGAGAGAATTATGATGAACTCCCTAACCCCATATACTCATACCTGGGCTTGAACTTAGGGACTTGAACTTGCTCAGATTGTTTGCTCAGCAAACAAGTCTATAGATTATCTCTTTCTATTGTTGATTTTACTGGCTGTAAAGAAGCCTTTAAGTTTGACATAATCCCATTTGTGTATTTTTGCTTTTGTTGCCTATACTTTTAGAGTATATTATATTGAAAGACTCATTGCCCCAACCAATACAAAACATTAAATGTACAATATTGCAATTACAAGATACATACTCAGCTTCTAATTATTTACTGATATAGCTAGTAAAGATTCTCAGATTTTTATGCAGAAATATTTTATTTCTATAAAGCAAGTGACTTAGCAAAACTTGACAAATTGCAGTGCTATGACTTTTAACTCTTTACTGAAATCTAGAATTGATTAGCCCCTTTTATTATGCTTGCTAGTTTTGGAAATATGATTGTTTTTATGACATTATACTTCTTACACATGCTATTCCATTGAAAGTTTACTATACTTTAGCATGTAATAAGGCCTTAAGAGGTTTTTATATTACAGTTTTCCACAATTCTGTTTCTTCCCTATAGAAATATGTAGTTCTTATCATTAGTTTTCCACATTACTAAGGTAATCATTGTAAATCATGTGGATTTAGTAATTTATAATTGTAGTAAAAAAATTCTATTCAAGAAGAATGATTTAGATTACTTTCTGATTACAGTAATAATATTATTTATGACAGAGATACAAATGCTCCAGTTGAATATTCCCATTATAAAATGAAAAAAACTCTAGTGAAAAATATCTTTAAAAGAAGTTATTTATTTTAGCTTCTCTTTCTCTTTTCTCTAGTTTAGTTAAATAACATTTTTCCTCACAGAATCTGTGAATATGAAGAGATGTTAAAAAAATAAAATAATGGTCACATATTAATAAAAAAATCATTATTGTTGGGGCTGGGAAGGTGGCTCAGTGGAAGAGCGCTTGCCTTGCATGCCTGAGGCCCTGGGTTCGATTCCTCAGCACCACATAAGCAAAAAGAAAAAAGCCGGAAGTGGCGCTGTGTCTCAAGTGGTAGAGCGCTAGCCTTGAGCTGAAGAGCTGAGGGACAACGCCCAGGCCCAGAGTTCAGGCCCCACGACCAGACCCCCCCCAAAAAAATCATTATTGTCTTAAACTTTTAAATTTGAACTCAGCCTCCTGGAATGTCCTTGGGCTATTTTGCTCATGGTGAGTGCTCTACCACTTGAGCCACAGCCCTACTTCTGGCTTTTGGGTGTTTAATTGGGGATAAGCGTCTCATGGACTTTCCTGCTCCACCTGGCTTGAACTATGATCCTATCCTCCTATCTCAGTTTCTTGAGTAGCTAGGTTTACAAATATGAGCCACCAGCTCCTGGCTGTCTTAAACTTTTGTTGTTGTTGGTGGTGGTGGTGGTGGGTCTTGAACTCAAAGCCTGGGCACTATCCCTGAACTTTTTCTCTCAAGGCTAGTGCTTTACCGCTTTGAGCCACAATGCCCCTTCTGGCTTCCTGGTGGTTAATTGGAGATAAGAATCTCATAGACTCCCTTGCTAGAGAGGGCTTTGAACCACAATCCTCAGATCTCTGCCTCCTGAGTAGCTAGTATTACAGGTGTGAGCTAGTGGTGGCCAGCTCTGTCTTAAAACTTTTTGATGTGATAATAAAAGCATTTCAACTCAGCTTCTCTGTATATTGAAGATACTCAAATTTTGCTACAGGCAACAAATTATATATCTAATCATTTATGTACCTACACATACATTACACAAATACACTAGTTCCATAGAAGCAAAGGAGAAAGGCCCTTTTGTGATAGGAAATGTGGAAGTCAGTAAGTACAGAGAAAAGATGTCTACAAAGAAAACAAAAGAGCCAATGGGAGAAAGATGGACAGTGGGCTACATGTGATGGTATGGGGGAGGAGAACAAAGAGAAATAGGGATGGGGGACAGATAAACTCGAAAAGGAAGAGAAGAGGGTAATGCAATAGAGGTCCAAAAGGAAAGGAGAGAAGGGAAATGAAAGTGTAATCTCTGGAGAAGAGAAAAGAAAATAATTGGAAAGAAATGTGGGGAGAGAGAAGGAGGGCGGGAGGGAGAAGGGAAAGGAGGAGAAAAAAGGAAGGAGAGGGAATAAAAGGTTTAAATCCATGATCCTCAGTGGTTCTTATTTTTATGATCTCTGCTAAGCTCATACATTTTTTTTGCCCTTCTGTTAGATTTTAATGAAATCCCTTTATGATTTTTTTAATGATAGGAGTATAAATTACATGTATCTTCCTTATTCTGCCTTGAATGTCCTAATAACCTAACAATGAGAAAGTAGATATCACTAACTATAGCCCTTCCTTAAAAGCTTATCTATAAAAACAATCCCAAAGTATGTTCTAGAACAATTGCATCCTTTGGACTCAGATCATACCCTACTGTCTTTTGTGAGTCTACCTTGTGTGGGAAATTGAGACCTTCTCCACATTGTTGTCTGGCCTAAGTTGATTTTCTTTCATGATTTTGAAAGGGGAACCATATTTTACCCGGTCACCCTTATCACATAGAACAAGTCAATAGAAAACATCCAGGATATACTTCAGTGAATCGATGCTGAGTGTGATAAGAAAGAACTCTGGCAGAAACTTTCCAAAGTGAGCATGTCATTTCATGAGGATTAAATGTTTTTATTTCTGTCTATAAATAAGATCTTGGTAAATGGGATGAGTGAACAAGGTGGAGTGTGTTTATGTAGACTTAAAAGGCCAACTCCCTGGTAGTTCTCTCCCCCCTCCCCCTCCCCCCCATCTCTGCTCTGTTCCTCCCGATCCACCAACAAGCCCAACAACGTCATGCTATGAAAACATAAAGGGAAATGAATGCCTTGAGCACCTTCTGGGTGGCAATGGAAGCAATATGGATGACACTGATTCCCAGCCTCCTCCGTCAACTCTTGGCCCATTTCTTCCCCATAGTGACAGCCAGCTTCCTTCCTAGGTGTGCTGAAAGACTTCAGTCCAGCCCAAATAACCATATGTAGTTAGTCCACACTTTTCTCCTCCTCCTGCTGCCCACAAATCCTGCCCAAGTGCTCTTGAAGTTACCAGGCCAAGATCACAGAATGAATCATACCTTCTTTCTGTTCCTCTTCTCCTGGGAAAGGTCATATTGATGGATTCAAATGTTTAATCCTCAATTAAAAAATCTTACTGATTTCCTTTAGTGCTATCCTAATTTGAGTGTTTGTGTGTAGCTTTATGAACATGTTATTTTTCTGACAATACTCATGGAATGACACCTGGTTTCGATTATTTGTGAGATTTTAACATTTATATTTTTAAATGATCTTTTTATTTAAGTGGTTGTCCAGAGGGGTTACCAATTTGATCAATATCACCCCTTTCATGATCCTTCCCCATCCTCCCAGTCCCACCCCACCCCTCAATTTTCCTAGGAAAGTTTCCTAGGATATGGGTTGAATTTTATGACGGCATTCTCTCCTACTTCATTCCTTTACCCCACATCTCCTGGACTTTCCCATCTTTTAAGTGCCAGCTTTCTAGTATTCATTTTGTTGAACTGTGAGGTTTTTCTTTTTTTGGAATTAGAAAAGTGAATTGTCTACTAATCTAGTCAGTGCTACTTTTTCCCTGAACTAGAACTGATGAATAAACGACTTACATAAAGCCAAACAATTACTGTGGTTCAGCTGAAGTTTCTGTATTTATTATTTGGAAGGAGGATTATTTTAATAACAGTTAAAGGTAGTTATTTTGCCAGGTGGATTTATCTTAATTCTAATGTTATTAAGCAAACTGAAAGGTTTGGAATTGGCCCATAAATCACTTCTATCATGTACCTGGGAGTACTTCTATCTTGAAGAAAACTTGTTTTCCTGTCTCCCTTTTCAGTGTTTTCCTTTTGCACTATAGTCTTTAGAACTTGGCTGAAGGAGACGCAAAGCAATTGTGTTTCTATGCTAAACCATGATGTTTACCCTGGTGATGAATCAGGTTAAAATTCATTTGTATGAACAGAGTTAGTCAGTAGAGTTAACAAAGCATTACTTGTTCATCAAATCGATGATGATGATGATGATGATGATGATGATGATATGATGATTGGCCAACTTGCTACGGGAAGAGCACTGACAGAAATTCCATGTCAATTTTACAGGTGATGGAGATCAAGGGACAGATGATCCACGTCCCAGAATCAAATTCCATTTTGTTTTTGGGCTCACCGTGCGTGGACAAGCTGGATGAGCTGATGGGCCGAGGCCTGCACCTTTCAGACATCCCTATTCATGACGCCACCCGAGATGTCATCTTGGTTGGCGAGCAAGCGAAAGCTCAAGATGGCTTGAAGAAGAGAATGGATAAATTGAAGGCCACTTTAGAAAGAACTCACCAGGCCCTGGAAGAAGAGAAGAAGAAGACGGTGGATCTTCTCTACTCGATTTTCCCCGGCGACGTAGCCCAGCAGCTGTGGCAAGGACAGCAGGTGCAGGCCCGGAAGTTTGATGACGTCACCATGCTCTTTTCTGACATCGTTGGTTTCACTGCCATCTGTGCCCAGTGTACGCCCATGCAAGTGATCAGCATGCTGAACGAACTCTACACCAGATTTGACCACCAGTGTGGATTTCTGGATATTTACAAGGTAATGGGAGTTTAGCTGCTGGCACCTAAACCCTGCTTGAGAGCAAACTGTCATCTCCATTAAGTTGTAAGGAGACACTTGTCACTTAAACTTCATAGCAAATGCCCTACGTATCTTTAATTTAGCAGTGTCTATACAGAATGCAGGATTGGCTGCTTTGTGAGTAAACTTTCATTCTGAGTCAGCTTATAGTATCCACAAAGGTAGCTATGAATCGTGACATTTCTCAATAAGAAAATAAAACTTTCTGTACAGTTCTCTAAATTCATGACTATTAAAAATTGAACTTATAATCATTCTAGGCACCTTTGGGCCAAATATCTTGCATAGAGAATGAGACTTCTTTATAAACAAAGAATTTCATGTTGAGAGGTAAAAGGAAACACATTAAAACATGCATGACTTCATGGGTTCAACCATGGGTAAGCAGAGTTGTCTACCATCCATTAGCTGCGATCACTTCAACTCTAAAAGAATAGGTGTAAATACTTCCAGCTCCTGCCTGAATGACTGATGAGTTTTAAAGAAAATGCCTTAATATTTCAAGTTACATAATAAAGAGAATGTTAGAGATTGAGTAGTACCAAAACACATGGCATCTATGAATGCAGATGGCAGGCGGAAGTCACTGAATGCTATTGAATAGTAGTGGGTAGAAGACGGGGCGGGGGGGGGGGGAGGAATGAGTATAATCCAGGGCTCCCTCGGATCAAAGGACAGTATGTGCATGTGTGAAATTTCATAGGAAACCCCTTTGAACAAGTAACATACACCGAAAAATCATGGACATCAGGAATGGAAAGTACATCCTGTCCAGAGCTTGTAGAGTTGGTGGAAGGGTGAACAGAGAGGGCGAGGGTGGGCAGAATACTTCATGTACATGTGTGAAAATGGAACAGTGAAGCTTGTTGGGATTGTTTTGGAAATGGGGGAGATGAGAGGGAGTGAAGGAAGAGTGAGTCTAATCAAAGTACATTCTGTACATACAAGTTCAAAATGAACCCCCTCCTCCACCTTGTACAACTAATTAATATTTTTATAGAAGGAGAAAAAAGGAAAAATTTCAAATGGCATAGCAGCCACCATTTATTGATTTGCTATGGCAAACTACTCATTTCTTGTTAGAGTCATAGCAATATATTGAATAATTCATTCCCAGAGCTACCTAATAAGTAACTGCAAGTTGACGTGGAATTTCGTATGGATTTCACAATGTCAGAGAGAATTGCTCTTTTAAAAAAAATATGAAAGATAGCAATTACCTTTCATATAAAGAGTGATCTGTAGGTGTTTACATTTTCTTCTTTACTGATCTGTGCAGACCTGCTGTACAGATTACGATTAGCCCCAAATCAGATTTGGAAAGAGCCCATTTTATTTTGTAGGTTTCAGATTATGCTCCAGAGGTTGTATCTTCTTGGAGTGAGGAAGTCTCATAGATACAACGCACACTCGCACACTCGATGGTTACTGTTTTAGTTGAGCCTCTCCCTCCTTCTCCCTCCCCCTCTCTCTTTCTCTCTCTCTGTCTCTCTCTCTCTCTCTCTCTGCCTCTCTCTCCTTTCTCTCTTCTCTCTCTCCTCTCTCTCTCCTCTCTTTCATCAGTTGTGGGGCCTGGGTGCTGTCCCTGAGCTGCTTTTTGCTCAAGGGTAGTGCTCTATCACTTTGAGCCACAACTCCACTTCCAGTTTTCAGGTGGTTCGTTAGAGGTAAGAGTCTTATGGACTTTCCTTCCCTAGCTAGCTTTGAACCCTGATCCTCAGATCTCAGCCTCCTGAGTACCTAGGATTATAAGCATGAGCCACCAGTACCTAGCTAGTTGAGCCTTTATTGAGTAGTAAGCTTTCATTGTGAAAGATGGATGAACGATTTCCCTTATGAAATAAGAATTTGTATAAATTACCTTTAGCTTCTGTATAATTTATCACAATAATTTATAGGAGAACTAGCCAAATGTCTTTTTTTCCCACTTTGAGTGTCTTATTTTTTAAAGCCAGATAGATATATTGAATCCTTCTCAGAAAAGTGAGGAAATTAGCCTGCATTTGCCAGCACTTTTAAACTTGCTCCAGCCTTGGGGCATTACTATAGCAATCCCTGGAGCCAGGAACTTCTCCTAATTCATAGATTTTATCTGTGTTAGGTTCTTACAGGGAAAACTGTCACAGTGCTTTTGTTTCATTTAGCCTGATGTTTATATTGTTAAATGAGAAAGATGCATAAACAGATTCACTTGAGAAAACATGCTGGAATCTCATTGTTAAACCCACATACCAGAGTTTGAGACAAGAATGGTAATAGTCCAGGAGTTTGCAAAGCTGTAGTGCATCTCTAAGAGTATGAGACTCTTCCTTGACATCTTTCCTGTGTGTCAAAAAGCAGATGGCAGTTTTTCCCTTCCTTCCTCCTCTGTAGGCGTAGTCTACCGGGTGCAGGAGGGGTGCAGGCAACGAGGAGCACATTTTTAAAAGAAGAAACTGAAGCTGAGTGCAGGTGGCTCTTACTTGTCATCTTAGCTACTCAGGAGGCTGAGATCTGAGGATTGTAGTTTGCAGCCAGTCCCAGGCAGGAAGTCCATGAAACTCTTATCCTCAATTAACTATCTCCCCCACCTCCCCCCACCAAGAAAAAAGCCAGAAGTATAGCTGTGGCTCAACTGATAGAGTCTTGCTAGCCTTGAGAAAGAAGCAGGGACTGTGCTCAAGGCCCTGAGTTCAATCCCTGGCCTGTCACAAAAGGAAAAAAAAAAACCACAGAAATGGAATAAATTCTTATATAATCTTTAAAAATCATCTTGTTCCATGAATGTCTACAAAAATTATTTTAGTGATAAAATGCCTCCTACTGTTGGGCTGAAGGTATATGTAGTGGGGTGGAATTCCTATGATAAACCCCAATATGGTCTTATGTATTAATTTATTTATTTTTGCTGGTCCCCGGGCTTGAACCTGGGGCCTGGGCTCTGTCCCTGAGCCTCTGTGTGTTCAAGGCTAGCGCTCTACCACTTAGCCAGAGAGCCCCTTCCGGCTTTTTCTGAGTCATTTATTGTAGGTACAAGTCTCATGGACTTTCCTCCCAAGCTCGCTTTGAACCGTAATCCTCAGAGCTCTGCTAGGATTACAGGAGTAAGCCACTGGTGCCCAGCTCCAGTGTGATCTTTAACTCTCAATGGAGGCAAACATTGAGTCTTGACTGTCAAGCCTGGGTTAGCAAAAGGAAGAGAAAAAACAACAACAAGAGCAGGCATCCAGGAAACACCACAACCACAGTTCTGTGAGACCAAGAAATCTGATCTTGAGACTCTGAAAAGAATCCAAGTATCCTAAATCTGACTGGAAGATCAGGAAAACAGGAAGGAGTCAAAATCCAAGTACAGTCTTGCACATGAGCCCTTGCAACTGGGCACCAGAGGGCCATATTACAGGAGCTGGAAAGCAACCTGTCCAAACGCAAAGATAAAGAGGGGCTTTGGGATAAATGATACAAAAGCAGAGTCTAGGCCCTGGCTAGGACCAGGCTTGGGGGCTAAGAACACACAGGACACCACCACAGAAGCAAAGGGAAACAAGTATTGCAATTTCCCTAAGGATGAAGAGATGTCCACTGGGCCTTTACAGAACTAAACAGAGGGATGTGACCCACAAAACATGAGGCCAATTCTTATATCCTTTCCTTAGAATGCAAAGCATCTAGTATGGATACTCTTGGGCTTAATCCAGTTTGAAAACTGTCAGGAGGTAGCCTGACTTGTGAAAATCTCCTAATGCCAATATGACTTTATATAAGCACCAATTCTCCATACATGCAGCATAATTAGAGGGGTTATGAAAGCCATTAAGGCCGTGTACATTACATTTCAGTAATGTAAGTACATTGTTCTACTTCATTACTACAGACTCCAATTAGCTGTAATTCCTTACCTACTTTGTAGAAGCAAGTCTGTATGTTCTGTCGTACTATGTATCTGTTAACCACAGTCCTTAGGCTGGGGGTGTTTATGAAGTCCAGAGTTTATTCTCTTCGTGGGCTCTTGCTCATGGTGCTAGCCTGTGGCATGGCCTTGGGTCTGCATCCTCACAGGGCAGGAGGCTGAAAGGGAAGAACACCCACTCCTGCAGGCTTTCTTCATGGTGGCACGTAGCTATCGGTAAGAGTGGAACCCTCACCAGCCTGAAACTTGCCTTTGGGCCCCATCTTCTGACATTGTGGTACTCAAGTTCTCCACTTGAGTGATGAAAGACACAATCAACCCTTAGCACATTCTGAAAATGAATGTTAGAAATTCAGAAATAGTGATTAAAAACTAACCATTTTAGAAAGGTTTATCAGTTCATTTTTGAGTGAACACGGATCAACTGGTAGTAAATAAATACAACTAATCAATGGATACAGAAATGAATATTATTATTATTGTTATTTTATTGTAAAAATACTGTACAGAGGGGTTACATGGGCAAGATAATGAGTATATTTCTTATCAAGCATTGTAGCCTCCTCCTTTGTTTTCCCTTCCCATCCCTTCCCATCTTCCCCCCACACACACACTCCCCACCCAATCCTCCCCCCCCCACCAAAGTTGTAAAGTTCGTTTTCGACATAACGACTTGTACATCTCATTGTTGCAATGGGTCCACCTGTATCCCTATTTAAATGATTTGTTTTTTCCCTTCCCCTCCACAAATTATACCGACATCAAATACAATGAAAGCAGGGGTTATACCATGGGGGAGGGACATACAAAGCAACAAAAATATAATCTTATAAATAGAAGTGAATATTATTATTGGGAAATAGATACGTAGAGATAAATATGCATCATAGAGAGGTTTCTACATCCGTTGATCAGTGTCTGCTGTGAGCGTGTTTGGTAACTTCCCAGGGAAGCTGCTGTGTACCATCCTGAGCAAGACCCCAAAGGCTTTGCGCAGATACACTGGGAGCATCAGCATTTGCATAAAGAGCCAGGACAGGCTGAAGTCTTCATCTTTTAACTTGCTTGG